AAGCTCGCTAGAGCATCTCCAAAGGACCTTTTCCGCATCCTCGTGAGGTGTAACCCATCACTTGCCAGAAGTCCATTGGCAAGAAACCGAGTGCCGTGGTCGAGGAACCCAAAGGGTTCCTTCTGGCACCACACCCTAAGCCAGTCATTCACCTTGGAGACCCTCCTGTCCCTTCCTGGCCCAAATCCCCGGACAGGTAAGATTGACGAGAAGGCCACTTGGGCCTTTAGCTCCCTCAGTTTCTTCCCCAAGGCCTCAAAGTCCCGGGTGGTCCCAACCACACCCTGCCTGGCCACATCGTTTGTGCCCACATGGATCACCAGGAGCGGCTGGTGACCCCCGGAGCGAACAAGACGCTCCACTCTGTCCATCACATGCCGGATGCATGCGCCGGGCAGGCAGCAAACCTCCCTTGTCTCCAGGTTGGGGCGGCACACTGCCACCTCAGTGCCCCTCAGCAGGGAGTCCCCAACAACAATCACCCGCCGCCGTACCTTCCCGGTGCTGGTGGGCAGCCATGCTTGCATCTTGCATCTCCTGCAGTGGCCCCCTTGCCGCCTGACGTCCCAGGCTGGGGGTCCTGCTGGCCCCCCGAGGCCTCATCAGCCCCAGCCTCCCCAAGTGGAGAGAACCTATTTCCCAGCTCCAGATTGGTGCCAGGGGAAGGAGGAGGCCATGCCTGCCAAGGCCATCTCCTTTTCTGCCATTGGGAACCCCTTAGAGACTCTATCTTGGTCCCCTGCCTTGTCTGTCCTGCAGTACTCCTCACTCGCCCAGTTCTCCCAGACAAAAACACACACACCCATGCAAGGATAAAATAAAATTTAAATTGGAGGAAAACAAAGGAAAGCAAACCACAGAACAGCACAAAACAAAACAAAAACAAACAAAGAAAAATAAAGCAATTAAAAACAAAACAAACAAACAAAACAGCCTCAGCCTCCCAGGGAAAGGAGTCCCTGGGCAGCCCGGGCTGCAGCTAAGGGATGCAGACAAGGGACGACGCCAAGAGGCCAGAGCCAAAAGGGCTTGCAGTGGCTGAGCTCGGCCTTATCTGCCCCTCAGGCTGGTGTCCCCACCCATCTACTTCCTCCTGGCCCCTGTAGCCTTTCTGGCCCTGCCTCCCTTCCCCCCTGCTGCTCCTGGCCCTCTGTTCCCCTGCCCAGCTCCTGCCTTGCCTTCACCAGTCCCCTGGCTACTCAGCACTCTCTCCCAGTCTGCGCTTCTGCTGCTCTACCAAGAGGCCAGAGCCAAAAGGACTTGCAGTGGCTGAGCACAGCCTTATCAGTCCCTCAGGTTCATCCTAGCGCCCATCCAGCTGCCTGGTTCAGATGCTCTGACAAATGCAACATTCCTCTTTCCCTTCTTTCAGGAAATGTCTCTGAACAAAGATCATGCACTGACAGCCATCTGTATATCTACTAAATATAGATATAGTAGTTATAGATACAATAATATAGTAGATATACTCTACTCTTCGCTACTCTACTAAATATATGCTAATTTTTTATTGACTAGAGATGTTTTATGGCAGGTTAGTCTGCTTTAAATTTTTAATTGTATTTTGGATATTTTAATTATATTTTGCAAACTGTTTTGAGAGCATTATGCTAACCAAACAGTATAGAAATGCTTTAAATAAATAAATAAATAAATGTCTACATAGTCCAGCCTGACCATCATCCTTAGCCTCTCTCATGACAAAGTTTTATGTGAAAATGGTACTGCAAGAATTACCTGTCAGATTCATTAGCAGTTCCTCCCAGAATATCAATCATTATGTTTGAATCTCTGTCTCTGGGAGTTTCCCTCCCACTGAAATACATTTGTTCTTTGGGAGGAGGGATCTTTGACTGGCTATCCAAGAGGCAAGATAAGGTTCTTGGGAAACCCAGCAGCCTTCCCTTAGAAGTTGCTTTGGGAAGTGATCTTAGAATCCTGATAAGAACAGGTTGGTCACCTGTAACTTTGGTTTTGAAGCACTTACCAGTGAATGCTCATGCAGGCTATGCACAGAACAGAGATTCAGAACATTCTAGAACTAAACCAAGTTTTAGGCAGGAGCTCCAACTGTCTCCTCTGTGCACACTCTGGGCATGGCTCCCACCTGCCTCTGTGTTTCTAAATCTGCTGCAACATGGGAATAATGAAGGAGAGGCAATGAAGCAGGAAGTGGGGTGGATTGTGTGAGCTCACAGATATCCACTTGAACAACCACGGTTACAGCCAAGCAACCTGTCCTCCTTCATTATTGCAGTGACTCACACATATTGGTGACTGAAAAGAAGAGACTTGATGGAGGAGGAAGATGTCATGCCAGAACTAAAGAATGCATCGCTTTGCCAAAAGCTACATCAGCACAGTCTGGTGCATAGATTTTAAAGTATTATTTAATCTGAGGATTTTAAGGTAATATTTAATCTGAGACGCATAAGAAGCCTTCAGTGTTGTCACGATTAGCTGGTAAGGCTGCTAAGCAAACTGTAACAGAGGAAAGAACAAAATTGCTACAGTTCAAAGAAATATATTCAGCAGACACAGAATTGTGTTTCCTGTTCTGTTGGCGCAAGATATTTCAGGAAAGCCTTCTATCTGTAGCATATGGCTTGCAGGAGGCTGTTATTACTTCCAGGACCTTGCTGGAAAATTGGAGTTGCCCACTTTCCATGCAGTTAGACACAGAGTCTCCAGGCCCTGATGCCTGAGTTTCCCATTGCTCATTCTGAGGAGATCTGGGAGTTGAGAGAGATGGAGAAAAGTGTGGTCAGACAGGAGGTGATGAGCTGCAAACCATGTTTGCCTTGGCCACCATGCAGAGAGCCCGATTGACTTGTCACTTGTTCACCACTTGTAAGACTATTGAGGGAAAGGGTTAGAGTGCCTCCCCAGCACTGCCACAGAAGGATTGGCATTTCCTATGTGGTGCTGTAGCAAAGAGACCAATAGCTGGAATGCCCACTTCTAGTGCAATGTATGGCTGTGAAAGCTGGGCCATAAGGAAGCTGAGCACAAAAGGATTGAAGCCTTTGAATTGTGGTGCTAGAGGAGACTCCTGAGAGTCCCTTGGACCACAAGGCGATCAAACCGATCAGTCCTAGAGGAGATCAACCCTGACTGCTCTTTAGAAGGCCAGATACTGAAGATGAATCTCAAATACTTTGGCCACCTAATGAGAAGGAAGGACTCCCTGGAGAAGAGTCTAATGCTGGGAACAATAGATGGCAAAAGAAGAAGGGGACGGCAGAGAATGAGGTGGCTAGATGGAGTCACTGAAGCAGTTGGTGCGAGCTTGAGTGGAGGGGGATGGTGGAGGATAGGAAGGCCTGGAGGAGTGTTGTCCATGGAGTCGCGATGGGTCTGACACGACTTCGCGACTAACAACAACAACAGTGCAACTGATGGAGAAGGATACCTCCTGACCTACTGAATGAGTTGACACAAATGAATGGCAATGGGGACAATGCGGCAACATATGCACCAATTCCAGAAACTGAGCTGAAGGTGAAGGAGGAGTCTCTTCCAGTCTTACTGGTTTATACAGAAGATGGTCTCTTGTGTTTTAGGCAGGTCACCATTTGATGCAAGATTCAAGTGCCAGCACAGCTTTGGAAACAGCAAGAAGTTCAAGGCGGTTATTGCATAAGCTTCTCTCCTGATAGACCCGCAGTCCAGACACTGAGTCCTCAAGAGAGGTGTGGTAGCACCATGCATCAGTGCTGGAAATGTCAGATTGAATTAGGAAGAGGTTTCTTGGCTGAAGAGTCATAAGAACCATGACTGGCATAGTCTGTAACAGAGCTACTGAGACAATGCAGAACACAAGCTCAAGGAGGTGTTGGGTGCTGCTTGCTCAGCACTGACAGGTACCTTCTAATTTCAATGTAAGGCATCACAAGGCGAAGGTCCCCAAACTTTTTGTACTGATAGGCACATTGTGGAGTTTAAGAAAGCGCTGTGGGCACCACTACAAAATGCTTAATTAGTGTACAGTTTCACATCTGCCTGTTGTCTTTGTGGATCGTAGGCTGTATATTGTTCAGTATAAAATGTCTGTTTCATGTCTACTGGATATGGCAAAGTCTCTTTCATCATGGCTTCTCTCTTGACATGCTGTCCTTGACATTTCACAGAGGTATTCTGATCCCACCTCCTCTTCCAGTTCTGATTCAGATTCTGAGGCAGTAAGGCAATATTTCGAGAGAAGTGGGCCTAGTCCCTACACCTATTTATAACTGTTGGAAAGATGGGTGCTTTTCTTATGTATCAATAACTATAGAAACATACAAACATTACAAATGAAGAAAATAAATTTTAAAACCTTTTGGGCACCCCTGGGGCCACACTGGAGACCCCTTTGTGGGCACACTTGTGGGTTCCTTGGGACTTAACCACCAGATGACTGTGTATAGGCCTACATACCAGAGCAATTTGGTCATTACATTTTAATAATGGAGCCATCCTTTTTTCATACATACTTAATGCTTCCACACGGATCAATGAATCTGATTTCCCTTTTCTCTGCCCCTCAATCTTTCTTTCATCTTTTTAAAGAATCTTCAAGGAACCTTTTTTTCCCTGCCAACCTTTGCGCAAGAGACAGATGTAATGCCAATATAAATGCAGAACTTCAGAAACTAGTGACAGACATGATTGCAAAACACATTCTTTCCATACTTAGAAAGAAATCAAGCCAGGAAATCTACAATTACAAATGTATAAGTGAAAGAGAGAAAAGGAAAGCTCGACAACAACTCTTTTCCCAAATAAGGTGCTCTTAAGAGTACCATTGCTGGACAGGGCAAGAAAACCCAATTTTCACACTAAAGAATAGTAAAGAGAGAACATGTTGCCATGCAGTGTTCGAAGCCAGGTTAACCAAGGAAATATAGGCAAGTATGGGAGGAGTGAAGGCAGAAATCCTATCATGGGGCTTTCAAGATCAACAGGGACCTTCTGTTTGTTACTATAACACAGGGCAGACAAATTGCTTTGAAGACTACCTGCATTCTTTGGAATCAGGGTTTAATGGCAGAGAACTACAGTCGTTTTTTTGACTCGCCCATTCATATCCACGTGTGCAACAGCTCTCCACTGAAGTTTCTGCAGAAAGAAAAAGCAGTGTGTTTTATAAACTCTTAGCAAATTACACTGAGGGCATTCAATTACAACTCAATTCACTTTCCTCTTCTCCCACCCCATCTCCTAATTAACTCGCAAAAAGTCATGCAATCATCTCAGAGTAAACTATAATTTCTAAACTTAAATAGAAAGAGATGTTGAAACCAGGAACATGCTATGACATCACATGAACCTGGCAGGAAAGGCAGGTTGCTCACCTGGAACTGTCGTTCTTCGAGTGGCCATCTGTGCATTCACATATATGGGTGCTGCGCCTGCGCAGTGCCTATGGCTGGAAAGATTCAAAAGCTTAACAGTCTTGGCAGGAACTTGGCAGGAACAGGAACTTGGCAGGAACCCCTCCCCCCATGGTATAAAAGGGTGGAGTGCCCGCCATTTCCTCAGTCTACTGAAGACCGATCGTTCACCCCCTTGCGGGAGAGAGAGACATTGCAGGGAACTGCTGAACCCAAGAAAAATTTTTAACGAAACCGTTATCAAAGAGAAATGGTACCGTATAAACCCATTCACCGACACCGAGAGGGGCCAGCGGGTGGATTGTGTGAATGCACAGATGGCCACTCAAAGAAAGACAGTTACAGGTGAGCAACCTGCCTTTCTTCATCGTGGCCTCTGTGCAACACACATATGGGTGATTAACAAGCTTACCAGACCTGGAGGCGGGCGGTGTCATCATTTAAGAACAGAAGAAAGGATTGCCTGGCCAAAGGAGCAATTGTGTCTGGCACACACATCAAGGTGGTAATGCCTAGCAAAGGTGCAAGGAGTAGTCCAAGTGGCAGCCTTGTAAATGTCCTGGATCAGAATGCCAGCGGCAAAAGCAAAGGAAGCAGCTACCACCCTCATGGAGTGCCCTCTGGGCATGACAGGTAAGTCAAGATTGGTGAGCTGATATGCTAGCTCGATGGTCTGCACGATCCACTTTGAAAGTCTCTGCGAACCTATGGGAGAGCCCTCATCATGGTCCGAGTATTTAATAAAGAGGTGGTTAGATTTACAGAAGGACTCTGTGCGAGACCTGTAAAAGGCAAGGAAGCGACGGACGTAGAGAGCATGCAGCGACCATTCTATTGGTGTAGCTGGTATAGGGAAAAAGGCAGATAACACAATGACCTGGTTAATATGAAAGGAAGGCACGACTTTAGGTAAGAATGCTGGATCAATGCGGAGAACGACTTTCTCCTTGTCAAAGTTAAGGTAAAGAGGATCTATCCGAAGTGCACAGAGTTCACTAGCCCTTCTGGCAGACGTGATCACGACGAGAAAAGCAGTCTTCCAAGACAGGAGACTTAAGTCAGTAGTTGCCAAGGGCTCAAAAGGAACTCGAGTGAGTGCCTGGAGGACAACTGAGATGCTCCAAGTAGGAATAACTGGTTGAAGTGGTGGCTGAAGGTTCTGTAGACCCTTGAGGAATCGACATATGAGGGTATGAGAAAAAATAGAGGAACCGTGCACCTGTCCACGGTAATGGGCGATTGCAGCTGTATAAACTTTAATGGAAGATGGCTTAAGTCCCTATCGATGGAGTGATAAGAGAAATTGAAGGACATTTTCAACAGAGGCTGAAGAAATGACAAAAACATTGGATTCAGCAAAGGATGCGAAGCGCTTCCATTTGGCTGCATAAGACTGGTGAGTTGCAGGTCTTAGGGCAGACTGAAGAATGAATTGGATATCGGAATGGAGAGTGCTCGGGTTCGACGAGGAGTCTATCGGTAGCGGGGAAGGAGAGGCTGTATCGGGACGATGTCGAGCAAGTATAGGAGCACCGGGATCTGCCAGTACCGAAGGGTCCCCGTGGATCATCAAATGAGCCAGGCTGTCAGGTTAAGTGAAGGAAGATCTGGGTGGTGAACAGCTCCGCACTGTTGAGTTATCAGATGAGATATGAGAGGCAGGTGGGGAAAAGTGCTGCCGGATAGGCAGAGAAGAGTAGGGAACCATGGTTGACGGGGCCACCGGGGGGTGATCAGGATCCCCATGGCACCGTCATAGGCAATCTTGGCTAGCACGCTCATTATGAGCGGGATTGGGGGAAACGCATACAAGAACGTGTTCATCCAAGGGATCATGAGCACGTCCGGGCCGATGCTGGTTCTGTTGGAAGCGTTGTTGTTGCTTCTGATGCTGTTGGCAGGGCTGGAATTGCTGACGGCCTGCAAATTGCAAGTAGGGCTGGTATCTATACGACGGATGAGACCAAGACCACTTATGACATGATTGATTAGGGACTTCCATCCGGCGAGCTGTAACCCTCAACTCATGGATCGTCTTCATCTTGTGGTCCATCCAAGCATTGAAGAGCCCTGAACCGTCGAAGGGCATTTCTTCAATCCAGCATTTTGTCTCATCCGGGAAGTTGCAATTTGGGAGCCAGGCATGGCGATGGAGAGCTATGGTGCCAACAAGAGCTCTAGAGTCGAAGTTGACATGGTGTCTTGCCGTGGAAAGCTGCTGGACTGCCACCTGCATAGCCTCTTTAATAAAGATCCTAAGGTAAAGGTAAAGGTTTCCCCTTGACATGAATTCCAGTCATGCCTTACTCTAGGGGGTGGTGCTCATCTCCATTTCCTAGCTGAGGGAGCCAGCGTTTGTCTGCAGACAGTCTCCATGGTCATGTGGCCGGCATGACTAAACACCAAAGTGCACGGAATGCTGTTACCTTCCCATCAAAGTGATACTTTTTTATCTACTTGCATTTGCATGCTTTCGAACTGCCAGGCTGGCAGGAGCTGGGACAGAGCAACGGGAACTCACTCCATTGTGCAGATTCGAACTGGTGACCTTTCGATCAACCAGCCCAGCAGCACAGCAGTTTAAACCACTGCACCACCTGCATCCCCTAAAGAACCTAGCCAGGTCTTTTTGTTGATCTGGAAGTGAGGCCGTGATATTTTCTAACTTTTGCATTAGAAAATATTGGTATTGAGCCAGCGTGGCCTCATAATTAGAAATATGGAGGCCAAGCCCTGTAGCAGGATAGATCCGGTGAGCCAACATGTCGATCTTACAGCCCTCTTTGTCGCGGGGAATAGTGTGTCCCCTGGACTCACGTCCTTGAGAAGACTCAACAACCATCAAGTTCAGTCTTGGGTGATGCAGGAGGAATGGAATATCCTGCTCACGGACTCGATGCATGGACACGTATCGCCATGAAGTGGGTTGAGGCTGATTAGGGTAGTTCCACGGTTCCATCATTGCCTGGAGAAGAGTCGTAATCAGCGGCAAAATGATGGCAGCAGACTGTTCGCCTTTGACAGTGTTGTAGAACTTGTCGGTATTGGGATCGAAGTGGGGCTGGGCCTTGATCTCAAGTGACCTTGTAAGCCTCACCATTAGTTCCCCAAAGGTTACATAGGGTTCCTCCAGTGAGCTGGGACCCTGTGTAGAAATCACCACATCTGGTGAAGTAGACACCACTTCAGAGTCCTCCAAGTCCGAATCGTAATGAGGCGGGAGACTAGAAGAAGAGTCAATAGGCGAACTGGGATGCCTGGACTGAGTCGCCCTCAAAGTCAAAGAGACGTCTCTCGGTACCGGAGAGAAGGAACGATTGCGCACCGACGGGTAGTAACTCGTAAGGTGGATAATCATCCCATGGCTTGCAACAAGATGGCCTGTGGGGCGGTTGCACCCATTCTTCCGAGGGCCGGACCAAGGCACGCTGTTGATATTGCACCTGCTGAGGAACAGCCCTTGGGGAAGGCTCGCATGATGGTTGGGGAGTTGGTGAACGAGCCATTGGAAGAGAGTCTTGAATCTCTCCATCGGAAATTGATCCCAACAAGGGAACGTCCCAGTGTTCAGGAGAGGACTGGGCAGAAGGTGCAGCCTGTCTTGGAGATCCAGGCGGAGTCACTTGCATGGCCAACTGGAGGGCCGGTCTGGTCAGTGTCGGTACCGAGACAGCCGTCGGGATTGACGGGGCAGATGAACCCGAGTCACAGTGCCTGGAATGGTCGGCTTTCTTAAGCTTGCAAGCTGACTTGTCCGCCTTGTCCTTCTTAGGTTTCTTATGGCCTGAGCACTTGTCCGAACCACTATGCTTCCTCTTCTCCTTTTGCTTATGCGGAGATACAGAGGAACGTTGACCCTCTGGCAAAGGGGCACCATCAGCTGATGGTCGGGATGGAGGCGTGGTGGAAGAGGTGGACAGAGGAGCAGATTTGCCTGCCAGATGGTCCAACTGGAGTAGGGCTTGGTCCCACAAAAGTTTGCGCTGGTGGTTCTCCCGATTTTTCCTCGCCTGCTTCGTAAAGGCCCGACAATGGCCGCATTTATCAGTTCTGTGCCCTTCTCCAAGACAGAGATGGCACAGGTCATGCAGATCAGTAGGTGACATTTTGGACCCACACTGAGAACACTTGCGGAAAGCCGCATGCTGCGCCATCGAGGAAGAAAGGGAAGATAGCAAAGCAAAGAGAAAGAGGAACAATATATATATATATATATTTAAACAGGGAAAGGGGGAAATTGAGAAGAAAAACTTCTAATAGGGAGGGAAAAACTTGGAATAGTAATGACTAAAAGAGATAATAGCAACTGGATAAATGTGTGCAAACTGAGAGACTAAAAGGCTCGAGGCACAGCAAATGGTGGTCGCAAGAAGACTGAGGAAATGGCGGGCACTCCGCCCTTTTATACCATGAGGGGGAGGGGTGCGGAGTTTCCGCCAAGACTGTTAAGCTTTTGAATCTTTCCAGCCATAGGCACTTCGCAGGCGCAGCACCCATATGTGTGATGCACAGAGGCCACGATGAAGAACATCTCATTGACCATTTTCTCTCTTTCTCCCTGTGTTTTATACACATGCATCTGATTATATGGGCTATAGTTCAGAAAAGTTTGTTCATTTTTAAACATTTATATATCAAGTGATCTTCTAACAATTCATGAAGAATTAACTAACTCTGTAGTCCCATGAGGACTTACAAAGGTGGCCCAAGGTACCAAAAAGATCC